CCTCACGACGACTGCTGTGGCGGGCCATTCGACGTGTTCGTTCTCACGCTACAGTGCGCGCTCAACACTGACAGAGGCCCCCACGGGCCACTGCCGACGAGGTGGCTCCCTCACGACAGGGACTCGTTTCACCGCAGCGGCAGGCTTCGGCCTTAATGCCCTTGTGTCACCTCCCGGGGGTGAGGTGCACCTCTCACACTCCCGACGACTGGCGGCCTTGCTCTGGTGGCGTTTCCCCCCCACCAGGCAGGCGTCATACGCCGACTACATTCCGACTGCGCCGTGTTGGGTCCTCGACGGTCTGTGTCGCCTGGCTCTCCCCCTCCTCCTTTGTATTCATCTGACTTGCGGCTATCGGCTGCGCCCCCCCTCTTCCCTCGCGACGACTGCTGTGGCGGGCCATTCGACGTGTTCGTTTTCACGCTATAGGGTGCGCTCAACACTGACAGAGGCCCCCACGGGCCACTGCCGACGAGGTGGTTCCTTCACGACAGAGACTCGTTCCACCGCAGCGACAGGCCTCGGCCCTAATACCCTCGTGTCACCTCCTGGGGGTGAGGTGCCCCTCTCACAACACTGCGTCTAGTTTCCCACGGTGACTCGTGGGTTCTTAGTCCGTGCGGTATTGACTCCGTTTTTCCTGCCCACGGTTCACTTTGGCCCCGTTCACACGGACATGGGCCCGCCTTGCCCGCTTGGGCACTCACTTTGGATGGCTGGGGACGCCGGCCTAAGGCCCGCCCCATACGCTCCACACGACGCACCTCCGACGACTGGTGATATTGCCCAGTGGCGTCTCCCCCCCACCAGGCAGGCGCCTTCCGGCTACCTCACGCATAGGGTGCGCTCACCTGGCGCTGGCAGGTCGGCCCACACCGGCTTCTTGCACCTGGGGCGCAGTCTGACAGGTACGTGCTCGCCGGTCTGGCGCCCCGTCTTTCGCCCACCGGCAGTACTTTGCCGACGGACGGACGATAGTGACCGGCCCACGTGTCGTTCCCCCTTTGCGGTTGGTATCTCTACTCGACTGGGCGTCTGGTCCGCTGTTGCCTGGTTCTGCGATGCCAGCATCGAGCACATGAGGTGCTCCGTGAGTGAGGCCCTGCCCCCATTCTGCTCGCCTTCGCCGCACTTTCACGGGCGTGCGTGCCAGGGTTGCAGTTGCCCGCTGTGCCCCGCCCTTCGCCGTCCGGTCTGTCGGGTGCTGGCGCCACTGTGCGACGCCCCGCTGTCACTGGATGCCGATTTGGTGCGGCTTAGTGATGTTCATTTTGTTCCTCGTATGTGCATTCCGGCGTTGGTTTTTGGCCCGCTGACAATTATCTTGCTTGCTTCGTCGTTGAGCTGGCGCCGTTCCGGCGACTCCTCGCACTCTTCCCGCGCCCGTTCCCATCTGTCAACGCCAAGATGCGTCTTTTGATTTTAAGTCGTTTCCGCGCATGTGCAGGCGCGGTCGGCCGTCGACAGTGACGGCTGGATTCGCAATTCTCTGGCTCTGTGCCCCAGACGACCTGATTGACCCGCCCTCTGGAACCGTCCTTTGGGCCGCAGATCAAAAAAAGAAGTAACCCCACCAGCCTGTTTGGGCAGTTGCTCGGAGCTTGGCGCCGCACGGGCGACTTACTCCGCAGCTTGCACCTCTGTGCGCTAGGTGCGTCCCAGTGAATGCTGAGCATTTTGCTCAGTGCACGTGCATTGCACGCCTCGCGTGGAATTTGCCTGTTCCGCCCTCCCGGACACGCCTGTTGCCGCCAGAGCATTGTCGCTCGGCCGCCGACCAAAAAAGTACCCCCACCAGCCTTCTGGCGCCCTGTGGCGCCAAGGTCCAATTCACGTACCTGGTGGTCACGCCCCCGGGGTGCTCGCACGTTTGCAGCTTCCTGGCAGCCCCAGCAGCTTGCAGTCCCCACCCTCGGCGCTGCCTGTTTTCCTTCGGCGGTTGCAGCAACTGCCCTCGGCGCAGCAGCTTCCCCCGGCGGTAGGTTCTGCTGGTGTTTGCGCGCGCGCCGGCAATTAGATCCGCTCGTAGCCTGGGCTGACTCGACTCGCCGCTGGCGCCTTCGCCTGCGGTTGCGACAAAAAACACCAGCCCATCTAGAAACGATGACTAGACTGGAAGGAGATCGATCAAAGGACGCGCCGTACTTACTTAGCCGCCCCCCCCCTAGAAGGCCCAGGTGTGTCCAAAACTTGAGATCACTCAGTGACGCAGGCCTTTTCGCCGAGGCCTTTTTGGGCGTCTTGGCTGCCTCCGGGGGGGGCTCTTGGAGCCTCTTGGGGGTCGCTTGGGAGCCTCATGGGGGCATCTTGGGGTCCTCTTGGAGCCTACTTGGCACATCTTGGGGGCCGTCTTGGGGCACCCTCGGGAGCCTCGGGGGCCACATCGGGGCCATCTTGGAGGAGATCGATCAAAGGAGAGGGGCTCCTCAATTAGCCCCCCCCTCCGCCCCACCATGAGGTGCGCATGTGGCCAACACCCCAAAATATTCAATGGTTTTGGCCTTCTCGCCGAGGCCCCTTGGGTTGTCTTGGGCGCCTCCTGGGGCCTCTTGGCCTGGGGGTCATCTTGAAGAAGATCGGTCAAAGGATGGACCGTACTCAATTAGCGTGCCCCCCCTCTGGAGGCCAACATGTGGCCATGGCCTCAGTGAAATCAATGATTTGGCCTTCTCGCCGAGGCCACCTTGGACGCTCCAACTACCCGCGAAACGCCCCGTCAAGGTACAGGGGAGGGGGTATCGGGGAGAGGCAAGCCCCTCCGCGAAGGGGAAGAACGGGGTTGGAAGTTGGAAGGGGCACCGTTCCAAACCACCCACGCCCTAAAGGGCTGGTGGGACTCGCGTGGCGTCCCACTGCCCCTTTCGGTACACCACTCACGAGGATCGCGCCCCCATGGGGAGTCTCAACCATTCTGGCTTCGGTGGGTCAGGCGATCGCAAACATGGATTAAGGGGGCGTGCGATAGCGACGGTTCCCGTTTTCATGGGAAATCGCGGATTTCCGCCGCCGAGCGAGGCGGCACCGGCCGCATTTTGGGGATGGCACCTCCCCCGATCCATGGATTTGGCGACCGCTCGCCAAGTCATGGATGGCGAATCCATGTCTGCGCGCCCCCGAGTGGGGGAACTCGCACGGCGTCCGTCAGCACGCTTTCCCGCACGCCCACGGCACGCCTCACGGCCCCCCTCGGCAGCTCTCCCCCCGTGGCCCCCGAGCGGAGGACCTCGCACGCCGGTCCCGCCGCCCGCCCCCGCGGGCCCCTCGCGAGGGCCGTGCCCCCCCCACAGGGAGCTCCTCCGCCGCTGGCCCCGGCGGGGGAACCCGCACGCCGTCCCCGCCGCCCCGACCTCGGCACGGCCCCGTCGAGGGCCGCGGTCCCTCGGGCGTTCCGCCGAGAGCCCCCCCGCGGCAGCTCGCCTGGCGTCCCCCCTGCCGGCGTGTGTCGGCACGCCCTCGCGTGGGCCCCGACGCTCCGCCGGGGGGTCTCGCGGCTTCGCCGCCGCCGCGAGGTGTGATGCTACGCTTCTCGCCCTCGGCCTGATCCTACAGGGCCGAGAGATGTTCCGCTTGAGCCCCAGACGGCGACGGCGACGACGACGACGACGACGATGACGGCCCGAGCGACGACGACGGCCGACTGACCGCGACGACGACGACCCACCGACCGACGTACCGACCGAATAACCAACCGACGACGACGACCGACCGACCGAACGTCCGACCGACAGGGAAACCATTCCCCCGCAAAATAATCATAGCATTTGTCTGCAGATCAACGGCTCCGTGGATCCCAATAGCCTGTCGGTCCATGCTATTAAGTGCAGTTTCAATGTAATCCACGAAGCTTCCACGCCAGCAGGTGGGATCAAGAAGAGAAAGAATTTGGACTTACGGATCCACGACGCTCTAGTGCACAATGCGGGGGTAAAACAAGATCCATTGTGCTTCATGCAGGAGAGGACATGTTCGGCCTAGGAATGCCTGACCCATGCTATCATTCGTCCTTGTCCTTCTTGTGCGCGTCCCAGTTCTGTTGTTCGTCCCATTCATTACTCCCATAGGGCTTGCGATACTGACACATGTATATGGTTGGGTCCTTCGCCAGGCGATCTGTTTGTGCGTAAACTTTCGTATTCTGTTACCGAAATGCTTTGGCGATTAATTTTCTGTTTGGGGTCGCCTTGGCCTGTCGTGTGGAGGAGGAGAGGAGGAGGAGGAGGAAGAGGAGGAGGAGGAGGAGGAGGAAGAGGAAGAGGTGGAGGAGGAGGAGGAGGAGGAGGAGGAGGAGGAGAGGAGTACAAGAGGAGGAGGATGAGGAGGAGGGGAGGAGGAGGGAGGCGGAGGCGGAGGCGGAGGCGGGAGGAGGAGGAGGAGGAGGAGGAGGCGGAGGCCGAGGCCGAGGCTGAGGCGGAGGCGGCGGAGGCGGAGGAGGAAGAGGAGGAAGAGGAGGAGGAGGAGGAGGAGGAGGAGGAGGAAGAGGAGGAGGAGGAGGAGGGGGGAGAGGAGGAGCGTGGAGCGTGTAGGAGGATGAGAAGGAGGAGGATTCGATGTTGACGGTTGCCCATGCGGGTCTGGGCCCCTTCCCCAGGACGGGCTTCTCATCCCGCGACCCCTCCCCCAGACGGCCCCGTAGCCCAGTGAGGCCCCTTCCCCAGGACGGCCCCGTAGCCCAGTGAGGCCCCTCGTCCTGATCTCGCTTCGCGGCGCGAGGACGTCGGCTTTTCTCGCGCCCGAAGCACTGCCCGGCGCGCTGTTTCGTTCGCGGGCGCGAAGAGGCCTGGACTATGCGAGCCTCCCGCGGCAGGGGCCGAAGTGGACGGGGCCGGGAGCATCGCGCTGCATCGCTGATGCATCGGCGATGCGGCACCAGCGTCTCCACAGCGACAGCGCCGATGCATCGCCGACGTCGCCCGTGCATCGCCGATGCGTCGTCGATGGGGCGCGAGGCTCCGACCCCGGTGGGGAGGCCCCTCGGAGGCCCCACTCGAGCGGCCCCACAGGACGCCGGCGGAGGCTGCGGCCCTCGCGGCGGGCGCCGCCAGGGCGGCCGTGGTGGCGCCGGCGGTGGAGGAGGCCGCTCAGCCACGCGCAGAGGGGGGGGGGGAGGAGGGAGGGCTTCTGTTGCCGAGGCGGTGCAGTGGAGGCCCATGCCAAGAAGCACCCTGCTTGCCTCCAGGGTGCCCTGGGTGTCTTGGGTTTCGGCGGTTTTGCCATGGGGAGAGTGGCGTTCCCACACCAAAAGTCAACGGAATTCCTGGGGTCCCAGGTTTGCGTTTCTTGTGGAAGGTTCCTTGTGGACTGGCCCCTGCCGCGTCCGCCACGAGCTGTATATCCGCCACGGGAGTAGAGGGCCACAGCGCGCCCCCGAGAGAGGACCAGGGACTTGCTATATGCACAGATGACGCCAGAGAAAACCCCAATCCGTGGATGGTTCTCGCTGAGGAGATCGTACCGGGAACCCGGGAGCCCAGGAACCCAGAACCCACCGAAGTCGGCCCGGAACTAATAACCGGGACCCCGGGAAGCGGGAGCCAGGAAACCGGGAACCCAGCCTGCTACCAAGGTCGGCGGGAAATTTTCGCCAAATCTTCCAACTTCCGCCAGGACGGACCCCTTCAGTGCAAGCACCGATTGTGGAACAATGGGCGGGCGACTGCCCTCAAGGTGTGAACAGAGAGAAACACGACGGACGTCAGCCACGCGCGGCGGGGAGCAGGGGCAGATGGGCAGAGGAAGAGGGAGGGCTTCTTAGAGGCACCCCTGCTCCTTAGGAGGCGCGGGCCTTCTCTGTAGATGTGATGCCGGCGCCCTCGACGGAGAAGCCTCCTTCTACAACCCTCGTCAAACTTAACATCAAGAATGTCTTACGTGGCTGAACTGTTTGTGGGGAGACACTGGACAGAGTTGCGGTGACTGCGATGTACTTGAGTGCGCCACCCCTCGAATGTCGGTCATCATCGAACTTCCGAGTCGTTCCCGGTCAGACCTCTTTTGCCTTGGCCCCGACGTTGGAGAGGCGTCTATCGACATTGAAGGGCGCGCTGGCATCGCAGGGGCGTGGTCGCCATTTTTGAGGTTAATGTTGACGAAGGTAGTACCGGGGAAACATAAGACCCGAGTAAGCCGGAACTCGGGTCTGCCGTCGTTTTTTGACGAGCGCGTCCTGGATTTTGACGGTCCAGTCTGCGTAGGATGTTTGCAGCGGGAGCTCGCGTCAAATTTCAGATTGGGCCTCGTCATTTTTATGATGGCCCCGTCAGGCCAACCCGAGTCCCCAGTACCCGAGTCTCACGTCTCCCCGATAGTAGGGAGCCCTCCCCGTCCCTCCACCCCCTCGTGCGCGCCGCGCACTTGAGGGGCTGACGAGCGAACAACACACACAAAGACACACACACACAAAGACACACACACACACAACACACACACACACAACACACACAACACACACACAACACACACACACACATACACCCATACCCATAGGGGGGTCGGAGGGTGGAGGGCTGGCTATGGGTATGGGTGCGGGTTGTCGGAAGCTGGGGGAGGCTCCCGTTCGGGTGGGACCCCCATCCGACAACGCGCACCCATCGCCCCCTCCGTCCCCCCTGCGGGTATGGGTGCGTGTGTGTTGTTCGTTCGTCAAGGGCTTTGAGCGGATGCCACATGTCTGTTTCGTTGCCACCTCGAGGCTCAGAGGCGAGCTGGTCCAGGCATGATCCGCGCAAAGGGGTCCTTTGGAATGGCATGTGGCCAGTGGCGCCTTCACACCGTCGTGCAGGAAGCACAGAGGCATGTCGAACCACGCAATAGCCTCCCATTGCGCATTCTGTGTTATGCCATAGTTCAGTCACGGTTCACTGCAAATCCCATTTTACTAGCCCCACGGTGCACATTAGCACAACATGACTGAATGCTCGTGGTTTTCGCATTGTTCTCTTCCCAAGTGGTTCTTTCTTGCGCCAAGGGGTTGCCACCTGTTCGCCTATGAGCTCCCGGGGTGCTGCCCCGGTGCCCACACTGCTTGCCCTGCGGCTGCCTTCTCCCCTTCCTTCCCTCTCCCTTCCCCTTCCGCTCTCCTTTCCTTGCCTTCGCCACGGGGCGACCACGGGGCGCTGGTACACAAGTGCCCGCCTGGGGGCCTCTCGTGGCCTCCACGTGCTCTGGCTGCGTCCGACGGGGCCTCCCCCCGCGTGCCCGCGCGCGTGTGTTCCCCGCAGGCGCTCCGTGCGCCGGCGGGGTTCCCCCGGAGGTCTGTGCGGTGCCCGCCTGTAGGTCCCTCGTGGGCAACTCGTGCGCTGGCCTGTCTGATGGGCCTGTTTCCACCACCAGCACCATAGGTAGGAGAGGGAGGGGGTCCTCCTCCTCCTCCTCCTCCTCCTCCTCCTCCTCCTCCTCCTCCCCCTCCTCCTTCCCCTCCTCCTCCTTTTTCTTCTCCTCCTCCTCCTCCTCCTCCTCCTACTCCTCCTCCTTCCCCCCTCCAACTTATGGTGGTGGTGGTGGAAAACAGGCCCATCACTGTTTGTCTACATGCAAACATCTATTGCACCACATACCTTGCACTGTACCCTCTTGTATTTGACACGCAGCACGGGGGCGTGTGCAAAACATCCGTGTTAACTCGCTGCTTTGTAAGATAGGCACGTGTTTGACCGCTTCCGGGCGAACGTATCGCGCCAGACCGACGTTTTCAGTCTACGTGTTGAGCTCCATGTCAACACGCTACGTGTTGCGTGATGCGTATCGGGGCAGCTAGATACCCAACGGATGGTACACAACATGAATTTCCGTATTCTGTCCCAGCCAGGCCGGCATCGCCCCGCAAGCATGCCACCCGTGTCAAACAATGCAATGCGCGCGCCTTCGTCTATCTCAAAAGATGTTCCCAATTATCCTGTGTTTTCTCTTCGTTGTGAGCCAGCAGCGCCCCGCGCCTCCTCTTTTTCACTCCTCTCCTCTCCTCTCCTCTCCTCTCCTCTCCTCCTCCCCTTCCTCCCTCATCTCACCCATGTCCATCCTCTCCTCCCCGCGTCTCCTCCTCCCGTCCTCCCCGTCCTCCTCCCCGTCCTCTTTCTGCCCCCGCACGTCCATTGCGGCACACCCTTCACGCGCCTCTTGGCCCCTGTAAGGAGCTCCGCCGAAGGCCCCAATGGCGCGCTCGCGCGGCGACCTCGCCCCACTGTGGCAAGCCTTTTGCACGCTCCGTGGCCCCATGGAGAGTTCCACCGAAGGCGCCAATGGCAGCGCCCGCATGGCGGCTCCGCCCCATCTCGGCACTTCCCCCACGCTTTGTGGCCACATATGGAGTTCCACCGAAGGCCCCAATAGCAGCGTCCGCATGGCGGCCTCGCACCAGTCTGGCACAACCCTCATGCACGTCGTGGCCCCATAGGAAGCGGCCCCTCCTTCATCCTGCCTGTCTTGCTATACTCAGGCGAGGATATGGTTGGGTCTTTCGCCAGAGCATTTGTTTGTGAATGACCCGTTGCGCCAAACAGATCCACAGAGTCCACACGTGCGCGCACATGTCGAAGTCATACCAAACGTATTCGCGGACTTGATGAACTCTCCTGGAGACGGCATGAGTTTAGCAATCTCGTCCAGAACCCGCATTCTCATTTCACCACGCGATGCGTCCGCGCTGGTCCGGCACGCGCCCAGCGCACGACGCCGTACCACATACTGCTATGCGGGCCACGTGCGCGTGCCGCCACGCGCGCGTGTCGAAACCCGTCCAAGCCAGTGGTGTTCGAGGCATTTCAAGACACATCTGATTCTTCATGCGCGTGTGAAACAAGTACGTTTGTTCAACAATCACTCTGCCAGACTTCTTGAATTTGTGCTCGCGCACACTTCCTCAGCACCGTGATCAGCGCAAGGGCAGCACCGCCGTTATGGTCATCGCCGATCGCCGCAATTGCCGCCATCATCCTCACAGATGCCTTCATCACGGGCAGATGGACATCATCATCGTCATCGTCGTCATCAGCATCGACGTCATGCTTGGTTTAGCCGTCGCCATCGTACTGTCGTCACCACTATCGCTAGTTTCATCATCGTTTCCACCTTTGTCGAAGTCATCATGATATCGCGCCCGCCCAGGTCACCTGCCCGCACTGAAGTGCCCTCGCGCAAGAGTGGCCTTTGAGACGCGCTGGGAAGCTCTCACCGGTAAGCGCCATCGCGGCCGAATCTGTTGCGGCAAATCAGCTGGTAGCCTTGCGCGCATCTCTTGTGCCAAGGCAGTGCTATCCACTTCCAATCGGAAGCCGCAATCGTGGCCGAAGGGGTTTTGCCAAACAAATTGCGGGTGGGTGGGATGTGTGTACAGCCATTGGAGTTGATGACCTCAAGATGGTCGAAGATAAGTGTGCCACGTAGATTGCGCCATATAGCTTGCACCACATAGCTGGCATCGCAGATATTGCACCATAGAGCATGGAAGGCACACGTAGCACCAGACGCATCTTGCACCACACAAATTGCACACCGAGAGTGCAAGTTTCTTCTTAGGGGCACACGACGGCAGACATAGACAGCAGCGAAGTCAGCCTGCAAGGCAGCAGTTACAAGCCCCCCCTCTCTCGCAGGCGGAGCTGGTTCCTGCAGCGCCTGCCACGGAGACGGCGCCCCAGACGCCAGAGCCGTGGGCTGCCCCTGCGGCGCCATGGGCCGAAGCAGAAGTGGTTCCGGCCCCGCCCAAAGAGCAGAAGACACCCGCCGTGGCGGAGCAGGGCCCAGCGGCTGCGGCCCCCGCGGGCCCGGAGCTGGAGGCCCAGGCAGCCCTTGGTGCAGCAGATTTGGAGGCGGCCCCCGCTGCACAGGTGGCGCAGACAAGCACCGCGGCGGCGGATGCAGAGCCCGCCACCCCCGCGGCGGCGCCGCAGGCGCCCCCCGCCGCGCAGGTAACCGAGGAGGCCGCCAGCACACAGGCAGATCCCGCCGCCCCTGCAGCGGCGGGGGTGCCAGCGGCGCCTGCCAAGGCGGAGGAGGCGGAGGCGCCCGCCGCGGTCCGCAGCGCGGGGGGCAGAGCAGAAGTCCAGTCCTCCCGAAGGGCTCCGAGAGGACGGGGCCGGAGCACCGCGCCGCAGATCGCGGATGCACCTCGCGGATGCGTCGCCGACCTCGCCGATGCGCCGCCGATGCGGCGCGATCCTCCGACCCCTTCTGCTCGGACTCCGCCCAGGGAGCTGTTGTACAGCCAGGTCACCCGCGGGGGCGCGAAGACGCTCGCGCTTCGCGCGCCGCGGTCCGGGCCAGTGGCGATGTCGGTGCCCCCTCCAATGGGGGGGGCGGCGCGAGGGCGCGCGGGCCGGCAGCGAGCAGGCGCTCGTCGGGCCCGCAGGGCACTGGCCGACAGGACATACCAGTCAGGGGCCACGCTGGGGGTGGGGGGGGGCACTGCCCGTGGGGGGGGGGGAGGCATCGACCGATGGGGGCCGCTGCCCCGCCCAGGCCAGGCACGGCCGATGTGTCGGCGATGTGTCGTTGCTCCCGGCGCGACGTTTCTCCCCCTGAGCCGCCCGCCCCTAACGTTACGTCGGGCCTGTCCCTCCGCACGAGGAATATGCAAACATAGTCAACAAAAATTAGCCTGGGGACCATGTTTGGATTATTTCTAAGAACTGTTTGAGCATCTTTTGGCTCTTTTGTAATGTTTCGTCCAAATTCCCTCTGTAGGGGGACAGGCCCGACTTAACCCTAACGTTGCCCCCATGGGCTGACGCTGGCCGAAGGAAGCGGAAGGGAAGCGGCTGCAGAGGGCAGCAGCGGTTGCGCACAGGTCCTCTTCGGAGGCCACGCACATGCTCCAAATCCCTTCTTAATCGTCCCCCAGGTCCGGTTTTTTAAGGCGCCTTTTTTGTAACTGGGAGGGTCCGGTTTGTTAGGGCGCTTTCTCTGGATTGGAGCTTAGGGGATCCGGTTTAGTAAGGCGCCCCGTCGACGAGGGGAGTCCGGAATAGAAGGTCGCATTTGGAGGGGGATCCGGTTTTTTGAGGGCGGTCTATTAATAAGGGACTTGGAGTAAACCCATGAGGGCACGGGCACGGCCTCGCCTGATTGCGCGAGGCGCGTGACGCAGCTCGCCATCGCTGCGGGGCTCGAGGAGTCGGCACCATTCAGGGGAGCAGGAGAAGCGGGGCGAAGAGACTGCCGGAGAAGCAGCAGGAGCCGGAGAAGCAGGGCTCGGAGTGGCCGCGCGGTTGTGGAGCTCGGGTCGATCCCTGGGGGCGTCTCGGGCGACCGGGGCCTCCAGGGTCCCGAAACCGCGGGGGGCCGGCCCGTGCAATGAGATCTCTCGGGGGTCGGCGGCGACGATAGGGGCGAATAGCCCAGTGGCGGGCACTGCACGCATACGTCCGGGAGCCTCGCCGAAGGCATGGACCATCGACGCTCCTGGCATGATGTAGCTCTCCCCTGGGCCAGTCGCCCCCCACCGTCGCCCCCGAGAGGTGTCGACGTAACCGCACGGTCTGCCACCGCACGGTGTTCAGGGGCCCCGGAGAGACCTCGACGGCTCGATGCGGGCGGAGGCCTGCCTGCCAGCGAGGGGTGGCGTGGGCGCCGAGCGTGCAACTGTCCGGTGGCGCACACAAGGGGTTGGCTCAGGTCGGGCCTGTCCCTCTACAGGAGAAATAACTATTCAAAACAAGTAGCAATACAAATAGTCTGGGGACGTTTTTTTGTGTGTGTATGTATGTTTGATCTTTTTTGTTGTTGCATGTTTGGGGTATCTTTTATTTTCCGCCCAAATGTCCCAGTCTTCTGCAACGACGGCTCCATCATTGGATGCCCTCACAGTTCTGATCCGCCGATTTGCCGTGGACCCCGACGCTCCTAGGTGGTCAAGGAACCTGCCGGACGAGGCCAGGACGAGGAAAAATCCGTTCTGGAGCGTTCCAGAGCGGTCTAGAGCGCTCTGGAACGCTCTGAGCTCAGAGTGTTCCGGAACGCTCTGAGAAGGCCGCGGCGCAAGAGACATACTCCAGAGCTAATGGGCCCTGGAAACGACAGGGCCGTTTTTTACCGGTTCCGTTTTGCCGTTTTTTTTTTTGCCAGTTCCGACGCAGTTGTTTTACCAGTTCCGTCGTTGTTTTTTGACCGGTTCCGGCTCCGGTTCCAATCCTGAAGCCGTTTTTGTTGCCGTTTCCGGTCGCTGGTTTTTTGCCGCTTTCATTTTCAAGGGGCACTTTTTCGGAAACGGTGAAAAAAAACGCCCTGCCGTTTCCGGGGCCCACTAAGCTCTGGAGTATGTCTCTTGCGCCTCGGCCTTCTCAGAGCGTTCCGGAACGCTCTGAAAGCGCTCTGGAACGCTCTGGAACAGATTTGTCCTCGACCTGGCCTCGTCTGGCAGGTTCATTGACCACCTAGGAGCGTCGGGGTCCACCTAGGAGCCTCGGGGGCCGTTTTTCTATTTGTTCCGGGGCCCACTAAGCTCCAGAGACGTCGGATCTCCGAGAATCTCGATTGGCCCACGCCCGACCGAAGGGGTTGGCACGAGGAAGGGCGGCCTCCCATAGGGAGGCGGGGGAGGGGGCCTCGCAGAGGGCGGGCAGAGCCCCCACCCTAGACGTCGATTAGTGAATTGTCCGTCTTCGGCTCTCGAGAGGGCGCCGCGGCCGTCATTTTCCAGGCTTGCGCCCGCCAGGTTTGGGTCCGAGGTCGTTTGCACTAGACCACGCTTTACTGAAGGGGGGTCTGTCCATCCCCGAGCTTCTTTTTGGAAGACCTCCCGGCCCCTCTCAGGAAGCTGTGCCGTCTCGGAAGCCGGCCAGAAGGGCCCTGCGCCGCGGAACCTCATTCCCCCCTCTCTCCGGGGGCCCTGTCGATCCGATCGATCCAATTCGATGTCGATTTCGGCCCGCCCGCTCCGAGTCGATTCTGGTGTTCTGGCATGGCGATCCGATGCTTGCACAGCGTTGTTGTGCATCCTGACGCGGCCGATTCGATTCCGACTACCTGCTGGTGCAGCCCGATCCGACGCAGATTCCGTTTCGTTCCCGTTCCGTCTCTTGTTTCGACGTTGATTGGTTTTGCTTCTCGAATATCCCAGGTATCGATGCCCTGTCCCCCTGCCCCCACGAAGCCTCAGCAGCGGCAAGGAGTTGGGCGGGCTGGCGAGCAAACGGCGTTGCTCAGCCGCTCGACGGCAGCGGAGGACGACGAGTGGAGGTGGCAGGAGGGGCATCCAGGAAGGCGGGCGATGCTTGCACTCCTGGCAGATAGCGAGTGTCACCGGAGGGGTTCGGGGGGAGGGGGCTGGTCACGTCACGTCTGGCGCCAGCGCCGTCTGGGAATGTTGGGGGATACACAGAGACAGCTTGGATGGCAGATACCTCCAGGGATGTTCTACGGCAGAGCCCGCATACATATAGGGATCTGCTACGTCAGAGCGCCTCCCTTCTCCTCCTCCTTTTCCTCCTCCTTCCGCATCCTTTATCCCTCCGTAGCCATTTTGGCTCAAGCCATTTTGGCTCAAGCCATTTTGGCTCAAGCCATTTTGGCTCAAGCCGTGCGGCAGGCTCGGACGGTTCTGGCGTGTGTGCTGCCCACCGAGCCGCACGGGCGCGCCATGGGATATCTCGTCTGTCTCGTCTGTCGCGATGCTGGCAAGACTTCGTGGATCCCCGACACCAACCCCCGCCAGAAGTGTAAGTTCTGCAGTACTCCTTTTCCTGGCCGCTCCAAAGGACAGGTCCCAGGAAAGCATGGTCGCAAAGGCGACAAGGACGGCAAAGGCAGGAGCAAAGGCAGTGGCAGTGAACGTGTATTGTCTCCCCCCCGTGCTCGTTTCCATGATCGTCATGTTGATGACGGTACTGCCACTCCCCCAGTTCGGTCTTTGGATGAACGTCTTCAGGTTCCATTGGATGAGGAAGTGCAGGATAGATTCGGGTATGACTCTGGCGACGACGGTCTTGGCAGCGATCGTGGTTTTTGGGCTGATTACGTCGACGACGACGTTGATGGCGGCTGTGTCGACACCAATGGCAATGAGCTCTCGGTTACGCAGATTGATCAGATTATCAAGGCCCTTTTGGGCCAGCTGGATTCCCTTCGCCTGCTTCCGCCCACCAGGTATGTTCGTGATCAGGTCTCGGGTCTCCAGGATGAGGTGCAGCATCTCCGTGCACAGAAGTCCGACTTGCTTACCGTTCCCCAGAAGCGTGCGTTCTATAAGCAGCGTCATCACTGGGCCAGTAAGAAGTTTGGCAACATCTCTAGCCAGATCCGCGAGTTCGACCGAAAGATCCTGGACCTTCAGAGCGAAAGGGACGCCCTCTGCTCTCGTCAGGAGCGGGTCGCCCAGGATATGGCTATGTGGCAGTCTAAGTTGCAGGATCTCCCGTCGAGTGAGCCAGTCCCTGAGGGTTTCACGCCTCCAGATCTATCAGCCGCGGCGGACGTCTTCGCAGCTCCCCAGGCAGTGCAGAGAGACAAGAAGCTTGCTCAGGCGTTGCGGGACCTCCAGGGTATCGTTATGTCTGGCTATGCTCCTGTTGGCGTTGCCAGTGAACCTCGGTCCCAGCCAGATGAGCCCAGGATGTCTGTTGACCCGCAAGGTTCCCCAACACGTGTTGCCAGGGCTCCTCCCCGTTCCTCTTCCTCACTGCCGCCTGCGCCGAAACGTCCTGCTCATGCCCCTGATGCTGCAGTTGATCAGTCGGGACAGTCAGGGAGGTTTTCGCCGTCGGCTGCCGCCACCTCTGGCCCCGCCGACACCCCAGCAGTGGTGGAGGGCTCCAATCCCAAGGGCCCGTCTGACCTTTAACACATCGGAGACCCCGCCCGACAAGTCAGCCTTCGGACAGAAGCCGCGTCGGGACTGGGTCATCGTGACTGTGAATGTTACCTCCTGGTCCAATGCCGATATTTTCCTGGAGGCTTATTCTGATCGGTTTGATGCTGTTGGTTTTCAAGAACTCTGTCGTACGGAAGAGGCTATCGAGTTCGCAGTCAACCGTGCTCACAAGCATGGGTTCCATGCGCACCTCCA